GGGCCAGAGTGCGGTTAATGGGGGACAGAGGGGACCATAACGGGGTCTATAGGGGCCACAGTGGGGCTACAGGCACTATAGGGGACCTACAGGAGCCATGGGGGGGGACTAGAGGGGGCCGATGGGGCTAAAATGTACATAATGGGGACTGCGGGCACCATATGGGACCTATAGCGGAGGGTCCATAGGGGGGCTATAGGTGCTAGGGACCTATACAGGACCTGTAGCGGAGGGACTGAAGCGTGCATCATAGGGCACGTAGGATGGGTATAATGAGGCCTATAGGGGGCGCTATAGGCACCATAGGGGACTTGTAGGACTCCATAGGGGGAACTAGAGGGGACTGATGGGGACCATGAAGGGGTCTAAAGGGCCAGAGAGGGCGTATAGGGCACATAATGTCATCTATAGAGGCCACGTGGGACCTAGAGGGGCTGTGGGGGACCTATATGGGGCCATAGGGGGCAAGTGGGGGGAACCAATGGGGCCAGAGTGGGGTTGGGGTCTCTACAGAGGTCTAGAGGGGACATGGGGGGGTCCCATGGAGGTCACAAGATGACCTCTAACAGGGCTATAGCAACCATAGGAAGTCCTATAGGGGGTAAGGGGGAGGATGTCCTATGGGGTGGGGGGTACCTAAGGGGGAATTATCGAGCACAGGACCCCCATGGCACTGTCCCCAACAGCGGTTACCTATGGGGCCCATAGGGGTGCTAAAGAGGGGGGGGGGAGGGGGCACCCTTATGGGTGACAGGGGCTCTAGGGGCTATACAGGTCATATGCCCTACAGGCTCCATAGGGCCCAGAACCCTACAGAGGCGAGCCCCAGATCCCCCCATATGGGTGAAAGGCCCTAGGGCAGAGATCTATGGCCCATGTAGGGGTTCTGCAAAGCCCTATATGGGTTCTGTCTCTACAGAGGTCTAGAGGGGACATGGGGGGGTCCCATGGAGGTCACAAGATGACCTCTAACAGGGCTATAGCAACCATAGGAAGTCCTATAGGGGGTAAGGGGGAGGATGTCCTATGGGGTGGGGGGTACCTAAGGGGGAATTATCGAGCACAGGACCCCCATGGCACTGTCCCCAACAGCGGTTACCTATGGGGCCCATAGGGGTGCTAAAGAGGGGGGGGGGAGGGGGCACCCTTATGGGTGACAGGGGCTCTAGGGGCTATACAGGTCATATGCCCTACAGGCTCCATAGGGCCCAGAACCCTACAGAGGCGAGCCCCAGATCCCCCCATATGGGTGAAAGGCCCTAGGGCAGAGATCTATGGCCCATGTAGGGGTTCTGCAAAGCCCTATATGGGTTCTATAGGGTTCTGTGGGGGTTGTGGGGTTCTACAGGGGCTCTAGAGGGGTTCTACAGAGTGCTGTAGGGTTCTGGGGGGGCTCTAGAGGGGTCTGTAGGGATGCATAGGGGTCTATGGGGTGTTTATAAGAGATCCATAGGGTCTGATGGACTCGCCCCCTGCTCTCCCCAGGGCATCAACTGGTTTCCCTGGAAAGGCTTCGAGTTCTCCATCCCCTTCACCGAGATGAAGCTGCGGCCGCAGCGCGACTGAGGGGACCCCGGGGGGGTCCGGGCAGCACCCAGGAAGGAGATGGGACTTGATGGGGGACGGGGAGGGGTCAGAGGCGAAGCTTTTATTGGAAGGGGGGGGGTGAAATAAAAGCTGCCCGGAGCCCCTTCGACCCCAGAGAACTCAGGTGTCCGGGGTGGGGGTAGGAGGGCACCCAGGCTTCTGGAGACGCGAGGAGCAGGAGGACTTGGGCACTGGGGGGGACCCAGGCACCCAAGGGTGCACCCTCAGACACCCAAGGGTGCAGCCCTGGGCACCCAAGGGTGCACCCCCAGGCAAACAGGGGGTGCAGCCCCAGAAATCCCGGGGTGCAGCCCTGGGACTCAGGGGGTGCCTCTCCATAAATCCAGAGGTGCGGCCTTAGGCACTCGGAGATGCACCCCCGGCACCCAGGGGTGAACCTCTGGGGACCCCAGGAAGCCCAGAGCACCCAGAGGTGTCCCCCCAGGTGCGCTTAGGCAGGGGGCAGGCAGGGCAGCAGGCGGAGGCGGAAGGGGGGGGGTCGCAGGACGGTGCCTCCTGACCCCCCCAGCCCGGGCGCCCCCTCCCCTGCTGCGGGGGGCTCCAGCCGGAATTCCCGCAGGATCCAGCCCAGGAAGACGAAGAGCTCGGCCCGTGCCAGCCCCTCCCCCGGGCAGGATCGGGCCCCGCAGCCAAAGGGCAGGAGGGCACGGGAGGGGGCATCTGGGGCCAGGAACCGCTCTGGGGGAACAAGGTGGGGGTCAGGGGACCTGGGCGTCTGGGGTGGGACCCAGGGGTCTGAGCAGGGCACCCACCCCAAGGGGTTCAAGGGACCCAGACATCTGGGAGGGGACCCCAGCATCTGAACAGGGCACCCACCCCAAGGGGTTCAGGGGTCCCAGGTGTCCAGGGGAACCCACCCAAAGGGGTTGAGGGGCCACCCCAAGGGGTTCAAAGGACCCAGGCATCCAGGGAAGGGACCCACCCCAAGGGGTTCAAGGGACCCAGGTGTCTGAGCAGGGCACCCACCCCAAGGGGTTCAGGGCACCCAGGTGTCCAGGGGAACCCACCCAAAGGGGTTGAGGGGCCACCCCAAGGGGTTCAGGGGACTCAGACATCCAGGAGGGGACCCCAGGGTCTGGGCATACCAGGCAGGAAGTCCTCGGGGTGGTCCCAGGTGTCGGGGTCCCTGTGAGCTGCCAGCAGGTTGGGGACCAGTATGGAGCCGACCGGCACCGGGATCCCACCAATACTGGGAAGACAGGCATTGCTGGGGTTACTGGGAGATACTGGGGAGCACTGGGGTTCTATTGGGACCTGCTGGGCTCTACTGAGGCCTAGTGGGGTGTACTAGGACTTGGTAGGATCTACTAGGACCTGCTGGGACTTACAGGGAGTCTGTTTGGATCTACTGGGGCCATGCTGGGCTCTGCTGGGGCCTACCAGGTTCTACTGGGGCCTAGCGGGCTCTGCTGAGGTCTACCGGGATCTGCTGAGGCCTCCCTGGGATTTTCCAGGGTCTACTGGTGGGTAGGGTCAGGCAATTCCCTGAGCCTACTGGGGTCTAGAGACCTACTGAGGCTCACTGGGGTCTACTGGGACCTGCTGGGGTCTACTTGGGCCTGTTGGGGCCTGCCAGGGTCTACTGGGATGTACTGGGACCACCCCGAGCCTACTGGGGCCTACTGGGATGTACTGGTGTCTACTGAGGCCTGCTAGGAAGTGCTGGGGCCTACTGCAACCCCATGGGGCCTACTGCGCTCTGCTGGGGTCTATAAGGGTCTACTGGGACGTGCTGGGGTCTACTGGAATCTACTGGGACTTCCTGGCCTGCACTGGGGTCTTCTGGGGCCTATGAGGCCCTACTTAGAATGCCCTACTGGTCTACAGTGGTTCATTGTAGTCCATACTGGCCTGTACTGGTCTATAGTGGTCCATACTGGTTCAAAACACTGAGACACATTGGTGTGCAGTGCTGCAACCTGACACCCAGTGGTTCATAACGGTCTATAATGGGTCCATGCTGGTTCATACCAGTACATGCTTGTCTAAACTGGTTCCTACTGGTCCATACTCATCTAAACTGGTTCCTACTGGTCTATACTGGTACAAAACACTGATACATTTTGGTGTGCATTGCTGCTATCAGATGCCCCCAGTGGTTCCCACTGGTCTATGATGGTTCATACTAGTACATGCTCATCTATACTGGTCCATACTGGTCCAGCCTCATCTAAACTGGTCCAAACCACATGGGTGCGCAGTCCTGCAACCTGATACCCAGTGGTTCCTACTGGTCTATAGTGGGTCACGGTGGTTCATACTCACACATGCTCATCTCTACTGGTCCGTACTGGTTTCTACTGGCCGTACCTGGTGTGGCGGAGGGCGCAGTGGGGCAGGGCCAGTGGGGCGGGGGGGCAGAGGCGCAGGGTCTCGGTGATGGTGGCGTGGAGAAGGGGCAGGCGCCCCACGTCCCCCGGCTCGGGGGGCCCAGTGGGACCCAGTTCCCGCCACAGCTCCTCCCGCAGCTGCGCCTGCAGCTGGGGACACGTGTGTCACAGGCGTGTCACCACCTCATGGGGTGACACACGTGTCATGGAGCATTGCATGTGTGGGGGTGTCCCACCCTGGGGGGGGAACCCAGTGGCAACGAGGGGGACAAAGGAGCTGCGTGGGATCATGGGTGTGATACACATGTGGCTGTGGCACACGTGTGTGGCACCTTGGGGTGGTGTAAGGGGAGGGGGACACGGGAGACGTGTAGGACATGGGTGGGGACATGGGGGGGCACCCCTGGGGACGTGGGGACAGGCGTGGGGATGCAGACACAGCAGTGACACGTGTGTGGCACCTCGAGGTGGTACGGGGAGATGGTGATGGCCACGGGGAGGGGGACAAGGAGGACACATAGGACATAGGTGGGGACAGGGGACCCTGTGAGGACATCCACGGGGACAAATGACACGCCCCCCCTCCCCCCCCCCCCCCCCCGGCCCCAGGAGGGGGACCTTCAGGCCCCGCTGCTAATTAATTATGGCTTAATTAGGTGATTGTGGCACGGTT